TTATATTTATTTGTGCACTATTTGTGATTATTTGTGATTGATATTTCAATTACCTTTGCATCACCTTGGTCTGAACCGAGAACTACAGCATAACTTTAATCATAAGGTAATTATCAGGAGAAAATGCAGAAAAGCCAGAAAGGTTATATTACACTTAAATGGATATACCAAAGATAAGAAAAACATAATATAAATGATATGATGATCATATCATATGATGAAAAACATAAAACATATTTGTTTTATATTTTTTATTTAAATAAGTCCTTAAATATTTTTACAGCTGACAGGATTTGTTTATTTATATGTGAAATTACCTGTATCTGTTAAAAAGTAAATTCTATTTGTTGTTTTTAATTATTGTAGAGTCGGGTTGATTGTAGACTCACAATATGGAATTCGTGGTTCGAATCCTGGGCGTGACATTTCCAATCAGCTTACAGCCCTGGGGCCAGATTCATGAAACATCTTACGAATGCTTTTCTTAGCACCTTCGTAGCGCCTACGTTGGTATTCAGGTAGGCATTTAAAAAGGAAAATCTTCGTAAATATGCTCCGTTGCGCTAAGAGTGCTGTCAACCACTCGTAGCTTTCCGTAAACTGGATATAACTCGATTTTTCTCTACTACACAACACGGAGGATCGATTTTAATACATATAAACAAAAGATTTTAGTTGGCAAAATCTCATGAAGAGGATTCCTTCGTGTTAGTAATATATGCATTCTCTGCTTGAAACTTGTAGTAAATATGTCTTTTATGATATTAGAATTAGTTTTATAATAGCAAGATATTTTACCAGTACAGGTAGTTAAGTAAATAAACACTGGTGAACATGAAATATGAGAGGTGATGAGCCCTGCCTTATGGGAGCATTTACTATCACCAAATGCCCCTGTTCATCTAGTAAGTATAGCTAGGGGGTGTACCTTAGCTATACATACCCATTTTTAATTTATTTTGGTTTTATTTTGAAAATATATTTGGGTGAGACATAAAAGAAAAATACCCTGCACTAATGATGTTAGGTTAGGGTAAAAACTTCAAAACTTTTGTTATTGAATACATAGGCCTATAATTATGGCCTGTTAAAAAAGAGAAGGGGGATAGTGGGAGGGATGAAGGGGATGGGGACTGAAGAGAGTCAAGGGGCAGATGGAAGAAGGATGGGAGGATAAATAGACAATGGGCACCACAGTGTACACCCCCCAATATGTATGCATGTACAGTATGTGTGTACAGTATGTATTTTATATATATAAAATATATATAATTTTTTTTCATCTTGCAGGCTGTACTGTATTACAATATGCTTTATTTTTTCTCGATACCCAATACTGTATGGGTTTCGAATGGAAATGGGCAGAAATGTGTATAAACTGGTGTTTATACAGCATGTGTCATGGGTATACAAGAAATTACAAGTGGATGATTAAATATGGAAGGAAGTAGGTTACATTTTGGTTGTTTTGACATGTTAGTTATATGCCTCTGAACATTAAAGGAGAATGGTGTATGTAATGCAAGTAAGAGGTGATCATGTGACAGAGGAAGGTAACCAACCACTTCAGATGGTAGAATCAAATAGTGTGTGAAAAAAAGTGGGGGTTGAGGATTAGTGAGTAATTATTAAAGATATATGCACATTTTATAAATTAAATATCTATGCAGGTGCCAGTGGGTGTCCCTTGCAACCCAACTTACTTACACCCTTCACTAACCCTCCCAGCCCTCCAGAAGAGCTATATAACAGGAGCCATGCAAGAACAAGAGTGGTTATCGAGAAATTCGGTGTATTGAAATCTCGGTTTAGGTGTCTCCACAGGTCTGGTGGTAGTCTTAAGTATGAACCAGATAAATGTGCTAAGATTTCAGTTGCTTGTATGTTTTTGCACAATTATTGCATTGAATAAATAAAATAAATAATTTTTTTTATTCAGGAAAAGTACATAAATAGTTGATTTACAAACAATATGTTGGATTTATAATAGAGCTAGTACATACAATACCTAAAGCCACTGATACCCATAGCGTTTTGGGCAAGGTGTGGGGAAAAATAACCCACAAACTAAAACTAAATAGTAATTGGGATTACGTATAAATTGTGTTGAAAAAAGGAATAAAAAAATAAAAGGGGGGGGGGGGGGGAACATGGCAGAAATCATCAATTGTACAAGTTGGAGAACAAACAGCATTGTTTAACAAAAGCAAGACATGGTTGACATTTAGGGGGTAAGGTAGGTTACATGGAGTTAATTAAGTAGCACTTGGTTTTACTCTTAAACTGGTTGAGAGAGGTACAGCCTTTGACATGATTGGGGACACAATTCCACATTCTGGGTCCCTTGATTTCTAGAGCATTTCTAGTTTGGTTAAGTCGCACTCTTGGAATATCAAATAGGTATTTGTTTCTGGTGTGATGCCCATGAGTTCTATTACAACCTTCTAGAAAGCTTCTAAGGTCAGGATTGACAATGCAGTTCAGAGTTTTAAATATATAGAGTATGCATGAGAGGATGTGCAGTGACTATATCTAACATATTCAAAGATTTGAGTAAGGGTACCGAATGCTGTCTGGGGCCAGAGTTAGATATTGTTCTAATAGCAGCTTTGTGTTGAATAATTAGAGGACGTAAATGATTTTGTGTAGTAGAACACCATTTATTATTTATTTATTTATTTATATATATACAAGAAGGTACATTGGGTTTGTGGGAATACATTGGATAGTACAGTATATACATTCTTGCAAAGCCACTAGTACGCACAGCGTTTCGGGCAGGTCCTTAATCTAGCAGATAATTTTAAGTAGGTAATTTCAATCAGAATTGATAAATGATAAAGATACATTACAAGAGAAAAATGAGATGAGAGAGATAAGTAGGTATATTAAAGCATATTGTTATATTAAAGCTCTGATTGATTACATTGAAAGCTTGATTAGTAATTTAAACAAGGTTAATAGACAACATACAGCAGATTGACAGCACATATAAGACAGCAATGATCACAATGGTAAAGATGTTCAGATTGGGTACATAAAGATTGGGAGACTGGGTAGCAAAAGATACAGATAAACAAGATTTATAAACACCATACAACAGATTGGCAGCACATATAAGAAAACAGCAATGATCACAATGGTAAAGATGTACAAATTGGGAACATAAAGGTTGGGAGATTGGGTAGCAATTGATACAGTGCAATTTTAAGGCAAAAAGTGAAAAACTATGAAGATGAAATTAGGTACTTTTTAGTATTGATTTTGAATGATGTAAAAGTAGGACAGCTTTTCAATTCAGTAGGGAGTGAGTTCCATAAACTGGGTCCCTTTATTTGCATAGTGTGTTTACACAGATTAAGTGTACCAAGCACAAATACCATAATTGAGATAAGGATAGATGAGAGAGTAATAGAGCGTCACCAGGGCAGGGGACTCGCTGCCGGCGCCATTGCTAGCTGGTTGCACACGGATTTCTTCCCGGAAAAACTTAAGATTCTGAGCACCCATTAGCTCAAATCATTGCGGTTTTGTGAGGAAGAATACATCAGTATTCCAAGACCCAGGCAATTTCTTGTTTTCAAGGAAATAATTTTGATTTCGTCTACAATTGATGGAGAAACAATGTTGTTGATTACCTGCTGTCCAGCTGACTGGTATTCTGCTCAACCCAGTACGCAGGCGACCCAAACTCTTGTACCACACTCTCGACACCCATGACTTTTTTTTTTTTTTTTTTTTTTTTTGAGGACCGTATCACTGACCAGGTCACTTAGTCCTATCCTGAAGGGCGAGGCCATATCCTGCGGACATTGCCACAAGGGAGCACCTTAGAAGGTGTACTGAGCCTGACAGGGAAAGGTAGACCAAACTTGCTCATTTAGGTGTTAGGTATTCCTGATTCCACCTGAAGGAATCATTCTACGACCTCCGTTGGAGGGGAATGAATTTCTCCAGGCCTAGGAGTGTCTCTGGCATTAGGTAGGGCAGTGATTCGGTCCTTTCTAAGTGGAGAGTCATGGGGTTGTCAAATAGAAAGAGGCAAGGGAGGCAGCTTTCAAACGAGGAGGGACAGTGGACCGAGGTGCAGCAGGCACCGAAGAAAACTGCTATCGAAGCTTCACTACATGCTTCTACCAGCAAGACAGCAGACATTATGGACCTAGAGAGAACAGCATCAGTCTCGCACCAGCCAGTGTCAGACAATGCTTCTCTGTCCATAACCCAGCCACAAGACGACAGTATGAGACAGGAGAGGACAGCACTAGTCACACACCAGCCGGTGTCGGATACTGTACCTCTCTCCACAGACAAGCCACAGAACAACATTATGAGACAGGAGAGGACACCACCAGTCTCAACCAAACATCGTCAGACTCTGCACATCTTCCAAAATTCAAGATAGTGCAGACAGACCACTTTCCTATAGCATATGGAGTAGTAACGGCAATGGAAAAGGAACACCCAGAGCTCAAACTTTCTATCATAGTCAACCTGAAAGGAGAAATAATAATGACGACACCAGACCAACAGACTGCAAATTACTTAGAAAAAGTAAATGTCCTGCAAGGGAAACCTGTATGCTTGGAAAAGCTGGACCCTTCACAAAGACACACACATACGAGTCGTGCTTTTGGGATACCCATTCGATTTTCCCCTGGATCCAGTACAATACTAGAACACAAGCAAATCCTGAATGCGGAACGATGCCGCACAAAAGTAGACAAGGCAGCGACACGTCAGGTTCTGGTGACCTTCATGGGACATGTGCCAGAAACATTCAATCTTGGAAATTAGGGAATATATCGACAGAGACCATACGTTCTGGAACCCCTGCGCTGCTTCAGGTGCCAGAAATACGGCCACTGTCAATCACACTGCACAGGACAGGAGAGATGCAGTGTGTGCAGTCTGAGACATCCAACCAAAGACTGTATAGCCAAGCACAAAGTAAACCAGACCACAGCAGCCAAATGTCCAAATTGTGGAGGCAAACATCATGCCTGCAGCACAACCTGCTCTGCACGGAAAGAAAGAGTGCAGACAGCTCAGGCCAGGATAAACACACGACCAGTACTACATACACAACCACCACCGTCTGGAACACTCGTACACAGCCACAACAGAGGCCCACTCTCACAGAACAAAATTTCCTAAATCTATCAACTCCAAATCAGAAAATACACAAAAGTGCCGCAGAAATACAGCAAATGCAAAAGAGCAAAAAGCAATTACTTTCGGGATCAACACAACAAATAGACAGTTTTACCGAGGTCCAGCTGAAAAACATCGTGAAGATCATGGCAGAGACCATTATCAATTGTCTACAGATGATGCAGAATGCCTCACAACAGACTCAAGAAATTACTTGTGTAATAATGGACAAGATCGTGCAGCAGACCACAGTTACATAAGAAATAGACAGTCCGAGACAAGATGGAACACAAGAGGACAAACAACGCAGCATGGACATACAGACTACCAATAACAGTCGGATAGTCAAGACACCAGAACATCAACATTCACAAAAGCAACTGCAAGAAGCAGTGACCACCCAAGATCAACAGAATCTTACAACACAAGAGACAGACAACAACAGCCAATGCAGTCTGATATGCAACAACACCAACAAAGACGTATTGAACAGCAGAGATGCACAGGTTCCAACAACACTAGAGGCAGGCATGAACAATCAATTCAGCCCAATATGCAGCAACATCAACAATGAAATACTGGATGGGAGAGATGCACAGATTCTTACAAAAGAAACGGCCACGAGCAATCAATACAATCCAATGTGCAGCAATACCAACAGCAAAGTGACGGACCACAGTTATGCACAGATTCCAACAATGTAGGGGATGACCACGAGCAATCGGTGCAGTCCGAATTGCAGGGACACGACTTGCGTGGTGGAGAATTTAGAGGTCGATTCCGAAAAGGAGTTCTAGAAGAACAGGCAAACACAAACCGAAACCGTCGTGTGGCCATTACGAATACTGCAGTGGAACATACAAGGTCTTGGAAATAAAAACCACACTCTTCAGGAGGCTGCAATCAGCATGAAAGCAGATATAATCGTTTTGGAAGAAACACTTTTTTCCCAACCACGAAATCCTTCAGATTAGCTGGATATCAGCACTACATTATACTGTATGAGCAGGGAAGACAAAGAGGGTTAATGACTCTAGTCAGAAACATCATACCCAGCAAGAAAATAGACCCAGTTTCATGTGGGGATGGAGTAGAAGTATTAGCAGTACCAGTGAGTATGGCTAATATTGAGCTCCTCATATACAACGTTTAAAAGCCCCCTAGACGTAAACTAGAAGCAAAGGCAGTTCTTGCCTTGGCCATGCAGTAAAATGCTATTATTGCTGGGGATTTTAATGCTCATCATAAAGTTAGGTGTTGATTTCACCTGTGTACACACAGCATTTGCCTTAAATTGAATTATTTTCATTATAAAATAAAGTTGCTTTAAATACAATACAGTGTATAATATACCTTACATGTAAGGGAAAAATTAAATATAATTTTGTTTTTAAATGCTATACACAAAACAATGATATGGGCCATCAATATGTAGCCCTTAGACCAAGTTTGAAACAGCTTCAATATTTTGAATCAATAAATGTGTATTTTATTTAATAAATGACATGACTTTATTTGTGGCTTATAGTACTTGATCAACAAAATATATCTGTTCTAATAATGGGTGCACAGGCTGACCAATTGCTTATTTAGGTGAACAAAACAATGAAAGATGAAAAGCACTGAGGTGAAACATATATTAGGGATGTGATACAATAATTATATCTTTGCCATTAATCTGTTTGCCAATAAAAAAAGCTTCTTATTTTTTTGTTTTTATATTGTCACTACTTTGTCACTAGTCACTACTACTAAACAATTAAACTTAGCAAATGATAAACATTCTTTAATACAAAAAAACAGGTAAATATTTTCACCAAACATCAGTCAACTATATGACGTACTTTTGTTATTAAATTGTGCTATATAATATGCAAGTCACAGCCAAATTAATTGTATGAATAAGTGTTACATTTTAATGTTTCCATAATGTTCTTAATTACAATTGCTATTACAAAATATTATAATTTCTTATCCCATTTTTACGGATTCTAATTAATAGTTTTAAATGATTTTCATAATGGCTGATTATTTCCCATAAATTCTACCACTTTCCATATACCTTTGGATATCTCCTTGAGGGATTTGTTCAAGTACTGTACTGTCTTTCTTTAGCAACCTCCCTTAAGGTTCCTGGCACTTTATGTACAGCATCTATTAGATTTTCATGCAGAATTAACACTTGTTGTGTTGTATTGTGTTCTGCAGTATTTTTTTTTTTTACCTGTATGTGTACTACAGACTGAGCCTTTGGAGTAGTCATGGCCTAGAGACGATGGATGAAATTGATCACCAATTGGTGAGGCAGAAGGCTCGCCTGATTCCTGTACATTTAGCACTCGAGAATCATCAGTGTCCATGACCACTTCCTCTGTTACACAGTTTGGTTCTGTAAAAAAAAAAAAACAAAAAAAAAAAAACAAAAAATATATATATAAATGAATTTGTGTGAATACATTCAGTGGATTTTGATAAATTTGGCTAATTTGGGGACCCCAATAGAAGCCTTATGTGTATGAATACACTCTGGCTTCCTGTTCCCAAACACAATGAATTATTATAACTTATTATCTCGAGGTCCACCCCTAAGGATTAATTACTGACCCTGTCCAGGATGCAACCCCACAACAAGCTGTAACTCTTGAGTACCTACATATTGCTAGGTGAATAGGGCCATAAGCTGATTGGAAATGTCATGCCCGAGTTTTGAACCCCAAATTCCATATTGCGAGTCTACAATGAACCTGACTCTACGATACATAAAAACAACAAATAAAATTTACTTTTTAACAGATACAGGTAATTTCACATATGAATGAACAAATCTTGTCATCTGTAAAAATATTTATGGACTTATTTAATAAAAACTTTCATAAAACAAATATTTCTATATGTTTTTCCTGCCTTTGGTATATCCATTTAAGTGTAATATAACCATTCTGGCTTTTCTGCATTTTCACCTGATAGTTACCTTACGATTAAAGTTATACTGTAGTTCTCGGTTCAGGCGAAGGTAATGCAAAGAATTTGGATTTTTTTTTTTTTAAATATCAATCACAAATTAAGATATACCTGTACTGCACAATTTAATGAGTGAAAAAAAATATGACTAACAGTGCACATTACATACCAATATCGAATCTTGATGATCCATTGTTAATATTTATGAGCTTTAGATATGTTTAGCAATAATGTTACCCTGTGTGGGACTTGCCCATCTAATTTGTGATGTCCTCTTAACAACTACTAAAGTAATGTTGCTTACTAGGGTTGAAAATGAGTTTATATAATCAAGATCCTGTTAATAATATTTATATTTTGTAATTACTTTACCTAATGGTTATATAACTGTTTGCCAAGATAATTTAACTAAGTGGCGTAAGTAGTGAAAAGTATCACTTCTACAAAATGCTTAATTTGTTTAATTTACAAATCTTTGATCTATAAATATATATTTTTTTTTTTTGATGAACAAACAAATTTCAATTTGTACCATTCAATTTTACTGGGTCATTAATTTTTATATACCAATTGAACCTAAACAAATTTCACTTGGTCCTCGACACAAAATCTTTAGACATAAAAAAAAGAGTAATACCTTCTAGGGTATAATCCTGTCCTGCATCACGGATGCCAGCATTTCCGTGGCGTTTTCTGTTAATTTTTTCTTGACTAAAGATTTAAGATCATGAAATTTCTTGTGGAAATCTACTTGTCTTGAGCAGAGACCAACACCACTTACAGCAAGAGCTATTTGGCTCCAGGCACAGCGTTTGTCTTGGGTAGTTACTTATCTTGATAACTTCCCAAAAATTATGCTCTCTCTCTTCTTAACCTCATCAACGAGAACTGTCATCTCCTTTTCACCGAAGTTTGCTTTCCTCTTTATCCCAGACATTTTCTTCTTGATGGTAGGTGCAGTTTGTGTGAAGTGTCTATCCTCTTGATTACTGCACGACTACAAATGTTGGGAGAGGCGTTACTGTTGAGAATGACAAGGTTTCAAAAGTGTTTGATGTCTTGTACTGTAGATAAAGGAGCGGGGACTAAACAGAGGCTTGCTTTGAGATTAGAGGGAGACTTGCCGCACTGTAGGCCGGGGTGTTGTGTTGTGCTGGCGTCAGCTGATCCTTGGTGCTGCAGCCAGACAGTTGTTTTCTGTGTTTGGCTGTTGGTGGCGCCAAGTATGAATGTGGCACAGGTCAAATATGGCCCAATTTGTTGGTCGACTGGAGATATTTAGCCAGTGCTTTGATTATTGGATATTTTTCATGTAAAAAAGTCACCTCCTCCTAATAAACAACGATAAAGGTTATTTAAAGTACGCTAAATCTTGTTTGAAATTTACTCTGGCACTACGATGTCAAAAACGGTGAAGGAGATGATGTTCGATTGTTTCCGGCACATGACTGGATGCACAGATGATTTTTCTGACATCAATACCACGAGGAACCGGAATGTTTACACAACACAGCCGATATTGCATTAGCGTGATTGGTCAGGTTAGAAATGTAACATTTGCTCTGATTGGCCAAACACTACACAGTAGTGACCTCTGTCGACATGCAGGTGAACCAGACCCAAAACCCAAATATCTTCGTAAGAACACCTACAGTATCTGAATTGCACGTAAGTATCTTCTTAGCACGTACTTAGGAACCTTCGTAGTACACTTACTTGTGAAAAAATACAGGGAGCTTCGTGAATCTAGGTCCTGTTCACTTAACAATATGTAGGAACTCAAGAGTTAGACAGCTTATTGTAGGGTTGCATCCTGGACAGGGTCAGTAATTAATCTTCAGGGGTGGACCTCGAGATAATAAGTTATAATAATTCATTGTGTTTGGTAACAGGAAACCAGAGTGTATTCATACACATTAGGCTTATATTGGGTCCCCTAAATTAGCCAAATTTAACGTAATCCACTGAATGTATTCACACAAATTCATTTATATTTATTTTTTTACTTTTTTTCTGGGGGGGAGCCCCTATGGCTCTCCGGAGCCTACTAGGCTGATATGCTAATGTCAGACTTTGGCATCAGTCATGCCAAAGTCTTTGGAGTTCTTATGGGCCTACCGGGGACCACAAGCCAGAACCTGGCCCCCTCTAGAGAGGCAAGAGGAGCAATGGCCTATAGAAACTCCCGTGTAATTGGAAGCATTGTATGTCTGCCATTGACCGGGTTAGGCACCCAGAAAGGTAGGCGTCCCAAAACAAACCCCTATTCTGGTGAAAATTGCAACCAAAAGCCGAACGAGTGGATAGAACTCTCTGAACAAAAATGAGCAAACTAGTGTGACGTCACCCGTTGTCGCGCCGCTGTCTGCGCAGCCCCCCCCCCCCTGGGAGGAGAAGGGATAACCCCAGATTACAGCGCTGGCAATCCACACCCCAGTTCTTGAGGCTGATGCTATTGGCTTGGTTGTGTGCTCTGGCTCCTGTATTTTTGCGACGCTGTGCATTTTGTGTGGCTGCTGTACTCCAGGGGTGTGAGAGCCAGGAGTTATTCCTCAGTACTTGGGCTGCATGCACCTAGGGTTCCTTTCCCTAGGTGCCTTGTAAGTACTGCCCTTGGAGCTTGGGGTTACCTTCCACAAGTTCCTTGGGATCTGCTTCTGCGTGTCCGTTTTACTGCTCGGTTTCTCGGCCGCCCTTTGGGTACTTGGGTGTTTTGTTTCCCTAGTTTACCTTAGGGTAAGAAGCAGTTTTTGCACTGGTGTGGGGCGCATGGTGCTGTGCAGCTAGTTGTCACCTATCACAGCGGCCGGCTCTGTCCCTTTTGGTAAGTTGTCCTCTTGTGGGGTTTTGTTTTTGTTTTTGTCTTGGTGGGGGGTTCTGCCCTATTTGCCACTGGTGTTTGGCCTCACACTGATACTTGGTGTGTGGTCCTGCTTGGTCCCTGTGAGTGTACACATCCCTGGGGTTCAGCTTCAGACAGTTTGTTTGGTAGTTTTGGGCGCAGGTTAGCAGTACTCTGCCTGGGTGTACCTGAGTGCGACTCCTCTTCAAGTAAATGCTCAGGACCCTGGGAATCCCCTAGGGGACGCGTAGGTCCGATGGATGTGACCCCGGGGTTTCCCCCTCAATGGCCCTCGCTTCGTGCGAGTTTGAGGGTTGTTTGGTCCCCTTGTCTCAGGGCGACCTTCACTGTTTTTGACTCCGTCACGCTGCCTGTTGGGTCAGTGACACTTTCGATCCTGAGTACTGTGAGTGTTGTTGCTTGCTGGTGACTCAATTTACCCAATCTGTGGATGATCATCTTCGGGTACAGGCTGCGCAGGCTTTGCATTCTAAGTTTCGGTTGTTGCAACGCGCTAGGTTGGTTGCTCACCCGGATACCCCGTGGCTGCCTCGTTTTGCTTATAGGGACCCGGACTTGGGGGTGAGGGTTGCTTCGACCCTGGTTCAGTCCACACCACCTGGTCCTTCCCCTCCTGTTGTTCATTCTGGTCCCCTCTCCTGCTTCCGGCCCAGAAATGTCTGAGGGGTTTTGGAGTCGGGACAGGGGTTAGTTGGTCTTGAGGCTCGGGCAACCTTGGGGGATGGCCCCTTACGGTGTGGCGACAGAGGCATTTGAGTTTCCTCCCCCGGCCGATGCCTCTGGGTCTGACCAGTGGGCCTCATTCCATCCGGCTTCTATGGCTGTGCCGGCCTTGTCTAGTGGGGTCGGTGCTTGGGGGGGAAGGACTCGGCCTGGGGTCCTGTGGAGGAGGACCCTGGGGCTGGGGAGGGGATGACTTGGGGGCCTTGAGCCCCGATGGACCTCACCTGGGTTTTTTTTACCCTCTGAGCAGGGTTACTGTTACAAGGAGTGGGGTTTTCTCCCCCCCCCCCCCTCTGCGTACGAGTTAGATTTGGTGTCTGCCCCTCCTCTGGTTCAGTTCCGCGTTCCCCCGGGCGCTTCAATTCCGTCTTTCCGGAGGTTTTCGGCTTATCGCATCCAACCTGCTGCGGTGCAGATGGCCCTTGCAGCAAACCTCCTGCGTGACCCGGATTATGCCTCGGCAATGGATCCCTCGACTTTCAAGTTTGGGACTTCGTTCCCTTTCTGGCTCCGTTACGAGGTTCAGGAGTCGTCCTGGCTGGTGGACTGTCCGGTGTTTACCTTGGAGGCTTGGCACTCCTGCCGTTCCCACACACTTGAGTGGCGGGAGGCTTCGACGATGTTTCAGGTTTTCCTGGGGGGCGACCTTGAGCACCTCAATGAGTGCTTGTTTGCTCCTGACGTTCCCTGGGATGTTGGTGTCATTCAGCTCCATGTGCAGGTTCTCTCCCTTTTGGCGTTGCAGGTGGCGAAGAACTTGTGCACTCGGGGCCTTTTGGTTGCGTTCTTGCGCTTCTTTTCCATCCTGGAGCTGTCTTCCAAGTGGTTCATGGAGGATGTAGGGGCGCTTGCAGCTGTTCCTGGGTCTGGCGCCTTAGCCTCGGCGGCTCGCTCGTCGGGTGCCTTGCTGAAGCTTTTCGCGCTGATCTTGCGGGATTTGGTGGCTCTGTTTTATGCCTCCCGGCTCGCGTGTCGGCTGGTGCTTGCCTCCTTTGTGGAATCTGCTTGGGCCTTGGCTCTTAGGATGTCTTCCCCTTTTTTCCCCTCTCTTGTTTGAGGCTTCCGCCATTGCGCAGTATATTCAGGCTGCTTCGGCTTCTTGCCGTTCTATGTCGGACTTGCTGGTTCTCCGAGGGTCCCGTGGTGGGCCTTCCTGGAAGGGTCGTGTCAAGGCTCTGGGTTCCTCTCGTCATGGTAGGCCACTGGTGTCAGGTTCGGATTCGGCTCCTTCGGATCCCCCTTCGTCTGGTCGGTGCGGTGTTCGGCTCTGTGCGAGGTTCTGGGTCTCGTAAGGGGCGCCGGCCCTTTTGCAGTTTGCCCAATTAACGAGGCGATGGGGGGGCGGCTTGCCCTGTTCGCTCACGCCTGGTCCCACAATTTGTGGGTGTTTTGGGTCGTTTCGCACGGCCTCTGGTGGCCCCTTCCCCTGCGGGGGGTTCGGGGCTGGCGGGACAGGCTTCTTCCCCTGCGCTCTGTCAGGTCATCTTGGAATGGGTTCGCTTGGGCGTGGTCGAAACGACGACGTCCCTCAGATGGGTTTCCTGTCTGTTTCCAGTCCCGAAACGGGACTGCTCAGACCTGCGGTTCATTCTGGACTTGTCCCATCTGAACCTTTGGGTTCATTGCTCCTTCTTTCGGATAACCACGCTGTCTCAGGTTCGGCTCCTGTTGGAGCCGAGCTCTTGGATGGTGGCTCTGGACCTTCGGGACGCTTATTGGTATGTCCTGATTCATCCGGGGTTCAGGGACTGGCTCGGTTTTGTTGTGGGGCTTCGTGCTTGCCGCTTTCGTTGTCTCCCGTGCGAGTTGAACCTGGCACCTCACATTTTCACGCTCCTCATGCGGGTCGTGGTGACCCGTCTGCATCTGTTAGGTGTTCAGGTGTTGGCCTACCTCGACGACTGGCTGGTTTGGGCTCCCAGCCAGTCCGCTTGTATGCTGGCCAGGTTCTTTCTCAGCTCGCCAGGTTTGGGTTCTTGGTGAACTGGAGGAAATCCCATCTGGTTCCCTCCCAGGTTCAGACCTGGCTGGGCCTTGTGTGGGACTCTCGAACCGCTTCCTTGTATCTTCCTCCAGAGTCTTCTGCGGCTGCGGTCCCGCATATGCCTGTTTCTGAGGGGCTCCTGGGTCACCCGGTGGTTGCTTGAGGGTCTGTGCGGGAGCCTGAACTTCACGATGCTGGTCTACCCACCTGGTCGGGTTTGGCTTCGTAGGCTGTTCTGGTTCCTTCGGAGACGTCCCTTCCGCCTCTCTCACGATCGCTGGGTTTGGACCCCAGAGGCTTTGCATCGGTTGGAGCGTCGCCGGCTTCCTCTTCGGGTTTTTCGGGTTGGCTTTGCCAGACATTCGGACGCCCCGAGGTGGACCTCTTTGTGTCGGCGTGGTCGCGGCGTCTTCCCCTGTATGTGGCTCCCTTTCCCGACTGCGAGGCCGTCGGGGTCGATGCCTTTCAGCAGGACTGGTTGAGGTGGGGGTTCCTGTATCTCTTCCCCCCAGTTCAGCTGTTGCTCCAGGTCCTGACTTGCTTGGAGACTTACCAGGGGAGAGTTGTCCTCTTGGCCCCTAGGTGGCCAGCCCAGCCGTGGTTTCAAGCGCTGCTTGCTCGGTGTCCGAACCTAGAGGTTTTTCCGCTGCTCCGCCTCTTCCAGCAGATTGGACCAGTACATCACGTGGATGGTTCGATCTTCTCCTCGAGTCTTCGCGTATGGTGTTTTTGACTCTGAGTTTATCATTTTTATGGTGATCAGGTGGCATCCTTGTTAGTATCCCACCTGCGGGCTTCGTCTCGGCGGCAGTATGAAGTTTCCTGGCGGTCCTTCCGGTTCTTCTTACGTCTTTGTCGTTGTACTTCGCTTTCTGTTTAGGTGGTGTTGTCCTTTCTCTTAGTTGTTCCAGGGCCGTCTCCTTATGCCTAACACTGTCGCCTCGTATTGTGCGGCGTTGGCGGAACCGCTTCAGCTTGCTTTCAGTATTGATGTCACATCTGCACCGTTTCACAAGCTGTCTCGGGGGTTGTTTCACCTCTGGCCTGCTCATGCACCGCCTGAGCCGTCCTGGTCATTGGACAGAGTGCTCTCTTTTCTTTCTTCTCCTCGTTTTGTTGTGGCCCCTTCAGTTCCGGATTGTTTTTCGAAGCCTCCTTTCCTGTTGGCATTGACCACTGGGGGTCGGGTAGGTGAGCTTCATGCTCTCCTCCGGTGCAGAGGTTTCTACACCTTTGGTTGGGGTGATCGGTGTGTTCGTCTGCAGCCTTCTCCTTCTTTTCTGGTGAAGAATGAGACTGCTGCCTTCTGGATGGGTCCCCTGGGTTGTTGATGCTTGGTTGGTTAGGCCGGGGGTGCATCAAATTTTGTGTCCGGTTGCAGCTCTTCCCCGTTATTTGCGCGCCGCGGCTTCTGTGTCCGTGGAGGTGCTTTGGGTTGATCCAGTTTCGCTTCTTCCCTGTTCGAGGGTGCAGGTCTGGTCATCCGCAGGGTTATTAAGGCTAGCCAGCCTGCGGTCTATCCCCGTGCCCATGATGTCCGCAAATTTGCGGCTCTTGCCGCCATCTTTGGCAATGTGTCCTGAGCTGACATTCAGGTGCAGGGATTTTGGTGGTTGAACAGGGTCCTGGCTGCTCGTTACCTAGTAAACGTTCCTGGGCCCAGTCGGGCCTGTGTCGCTTTGGGTCGGCGGATGAAGCCAGTTGTCTCGGCTTCAGGTTGAGGAGTGAGCAGCAACCGCCTCCCGGGTAAGTCCCTATTCTTCTCCTCTGTGGGTAGTTAGCTCCGGGCAGCTGTAGGGGCTCCCACCAGAAAACCAGCGTTGAATGTAATGAAACGCAATTTTCTGGGTGAGTCCCGGAGGCTCCCCGGCATCCCTCCCTCCCTCAGGTCGGCAGTTTTTTCGAGTGTTTTGACATTGTCTCAGAACTGGGGTGTGGATTGCCAGCATGGTAAGTCTGGGGCTACCCCTTCCCCTTCCCAGGGAGGGGGGCTGGGCAGACAGTGGCGCGACGACGGGTGACGTCATACTAGTTTGCTCGTTTTTGTTTAGGGAGTTCCATGTACTTCTTCAGCTTTTGGTTGCAATTTTCACCAGAATAGGGGTTTGTTTTGGGACGCCTGCCTTCCTGGGTGCTTAACCCGGTCGATGGCAGACATAGAATGCTTCCAATTACACGGGGGTTTCTATAGTCCATTGCTTCCCTTGCCTCTAGAGGGGGCCAGGTTCTTGCTTGTGGTCCATGGTAGGTCCATAAGTAAGTTTCGGAGAGCCTCCGGGACTCACCCAGAAAATGGCGTTTCACTATTGTACATTCAACGCTTTTTTTTTTTTTTTTTACAGAACCAAATTGTGTAACAGAGGAAGTGGTCATGGACACTGATGATTGTCGAGTGCTAAATGTACAGAAATCAGGCGAGCCTTCTGCCTCACCAATTGGTGATCAATTTCATCCATCGTCTCTAGGCCATGACTACTCCAAAGTCTCTGTCTGTAGTACACATACAGGTAAAAAAAAATACTGCAGGACATAATACAACACAAGTGTTAATTCTGCATGAAAATCTTAGACGCTGTACATAAAGTGTCAACAGCCTTAAAGGAGGTTGCTAAAGAAGCACAGGACTTAAACAAATCCCTCAAGGAGATATCCAAAGGTATATGGAGAGTGGTAGAATGTCTGGGAAATAATCAGTCATTATGAAAATCATTTAATGCTATCTAATTAGAATCCCTAAAAATAGGATGAGAAATTATAATATTTTGTAATAGCAATTGTAATTAAGAAAAATTTGGAAATATTAAAATGTAACAATTATTCATATCATTAATTTGGCTGTAACTTGCATATTATATAGCACAATTTTATAACAAATATACCTCATATAGTCGACTGATGTTTGGTGAAAATATTTACATGTTTTTTGTATTAAAGAATGTTTATCATTTGCTAAGTTTAATTGTTGAGAGTACAAAATAGTGACAATATGAAAAAACACCCAAATAAGAAGCTTTTTTATTGGCAAAAAGATTAATGGCAAAGATATAATTATTGTATCACATCCCTAATATATGTTTCACCTCAGTGCTTTTCATCTTTCATTGTTTTGTTCACCTAAATAATCAATTTGTCAGCCTGTGCACCCATTATTAGAACAGATATATTTGTTGATCAAGTTCTATAAGCCACAAATAGTCATGTCATATTAAATAAAACACATTTATTGATTCAATTTATTGAAGCTGTTTGAAACTTGGTCTCAGGGCTACATATTGATGGCCTATATTATTGTTTTGTGTATAGCATTTAAAAAACAATTTATATTTAATTTTTCCCTTGCATGCAAGGTATATTATACACTGTACTGTATTGAAAGCAACTTTATTTTATAATTAAAATCATTCAAGGCAAAGGCTGTGTGTACACAGGTGAAACCAACACTAGTATAGATATTTTACAAAACCAAATTATGTACAACATTTATTTGTGTGTATGAATAAATATTATTTAATATATTTTTCACACAAATTTTTTGTATTTTGTCAGATGTATATATTTCTCCTCAGGTATCTGACTTTCCATATAAAATACTGTATAGCAGCATAAATAATATTTCCAAATCAGCAAGTACATGTTTGTAACAATTTCTTTGTATATTCCTGTTTCACTTACATGTACAGTATGTGCTATAGAATTTAATAGGTAAAAATGGCTAGGATAACTTACAAATAATTCTATGAATCAAATACAGTAATGTTTTTTTTTTCCTTATTGATAAATTCTTGAGTTACTGTACTTGTATTTTTATACAAAGGTTTCAATATGTACCATTTGCAATTACAGTACATATTTTAATTTGTTATATAAGTATGATTTAAAAAAAAAATTGAGAAAAAATTACTATTTCCCTCCTTTGTGTCTGGTCATTTTCATGTGCTCCAACTTCGACATTTTCTTTCATTATAAAGTCGTCATCAATGATGTCTTCAAGAAGTATTCTTTGCTCAATGCAATAATTGTGCAACAACATACATGCAACTGAAATCTTAGCACATTTATCTGGTTCATACTGAAGACTACCACCAGACCTGTGGGGACACCTAAACCGAGATTTCAATACACCGAAGGTGTTCTCGATTACCACTCTTGTTCTTGCATGGCTCCTGTTATATAGCTCTTCTGGAGGGCTGGCAGGGTTAGTGAAGGGTGTAAGTAAGTTGGGTTGCAAGGTATAGCCACCATCACCTGCATAGATATTTAATTTATAAAATGTGCATATATATGTTTAATAATTACTCACTAATCCTCAACCCCCACTTTCTTTCACACACTATTTGATTCTACCATCTGAAGTGGTTGGTTACCTTCCTCTGTCACATGATCACCTCTTACTTGCATTACATACACCATTCTCCTTTAATGTTCAGAGGCATATAACTAACATATCAAAACTACCAAAATGTAACCCACTTCCTTCCATATTTAATCATCCACTTGTAATCTCTCGTATACCCATGACACATGCTGTATAAATACCAGTTTAAACACATTTCTGCCCATTTCCATTCGAAACCCATACAGTATTGGGTATCTAGAAAAAATAAAGCATATTGTAATACAGCCTGCTGTAATACTGTAATGCAGTATGGGTTTCGAATAGAAATGGGCAGAAATGTGTTTAAACTGTGTTTCACACAAATTTTTTGTATTTTGTCAGATGTATATATTTCTCCTCAGGTATCTGACTTTCCATATAAAGTATAGCAGCATAAATTGCAGCTTACCTGAATAAACATATTTATTTATATTTATATTAAATATTATTTCCAAATCAGCAGGTACATGTTTGTAACAATTTCTTTGTATATTTCTGTTTCACTTACATGTACAGTATGTGCTATAGAATTTAATAGGCATAAATGGCTAGGATAACTTACAAATAATTCTATGAATCAAATAATAAAAGTTTTTGTTTTCCCTTATTGATAAATTCTTGAGTTACTGTGCTTGTATTTTTATACAAAGGTTCCATTATGTACTGTTTGCAATTACATGTTTTAATTTGGTATATAAGTATGATTCGAAATAAAAATGTATGAGAAAAAATTACTTACTACTTTCCTCCTTTGTGTGTGACCATTTTCATGTGCTCCAACTTCGATATTTTCTTTCATTATAAAGTCATCATCAATGATGTCTTCAAGAAGTATTCTTTGCTCAATGCAATAATTGTACAACAACATACATGCAACTGAAATCTTAGCATCCACTAAGATCACATGATCACCTCTTACTTGCATTACATACAACATTCTCCTTTAATGTTCAGAGGCATATAATTAACATGTCAAAACAACCAAAATATAACCCACTTCCTTCCATATTTAACTTAATCATCCACTTGTAATCTCTCGTATACCCTTGACACATGCTGTATAAACACCAGTTTATACACATTTCTGCCCATTTCCATTCGAAACCCATACAGTATTGGGTATCTAGAAAAAACAAAGCCTATTGTAATACAGCCTATAAGATGAAATATATATATATATATATAATTTTTTTTTTTTTTTTGAGATATATACAAGAGTTGTTACATTCTTGTACAGCCACTAGTACGCGTAGCGTTTCGGGCAAGTCCTTAATCCTATAGTCCCTGGAATACGATCCCCTGCCGCGAAAAATCGTTTTTTCATCCAAGTACACATTTTACTGTTGCGTTAAACAGAGGCTACAGTTAAGGAATTGCGCCCAGTAAATCCTCCCCGGCCAGGATACGAACCCATGACATAGCGCTCGCGGAACGCCAGGCGAGTGTCTTGCCACTACACCACGGAGATGGAGATATATATATAATATATATATATATATATATATATATATATATATATATATATATATATATATATATATATATATAACTGAAAACTCACACCCCAGAAGTGACTCGAACCCATACTCCCACAACTGGTATGTACAGGGACGCCTTAATCCGCTTGACCATCACGACCGGACATAAGGAAGTGATAGCCGAGGCTATATGAACCACTTCCCCGCCGGCACTCGGATGGTAATCTTGGGCATAGCATTTTATCAAATCACCTCATTCTTTGGGGCACGCGTGAGGAACACAAATGCAAACAAGCCTGAATGGTCCCCAGGACTATATACAACTGAAAACTCACACCCCAGAAGTGACTCGAACCCATACTCCCACAACTGGTATGTACAGGGACGCCTTAATCCGCTTGACCATCACGACCGGACATAAGGAAGTGATAGCCGAGGCTATATGAACCACTTCCCCGCCGGCACTCGGATGGTAATCTTGGGCATAGCATTTTATCAAATCACCTCATTCTTTGGGGCACGCGTGAGGAACACAAATACAAACAAGCCTGAATGGTCCCCAGGACTATATACAACTGAAAACTGAATTGCATTTGTGTTCCTCACGCGTGCCCCAAAGAATGAGGTGATTTGATAAAATGCTATGCCCAAGATTACCATCCGAGTGCCGGCGGGGAAGTGGTTCATATAGCCTCGGCTATCACTTCCTTATGTCCGGTCGTGATGGTCAAGCGGATTAAGGCGTCCCTGTACATACCAGTTGTGGGAGTATGGGTTCGAGTCACTTCTGGGGTGTGAGTTTTCAGTTGTATATAGTCCTGGGGACCATTCAGGCTTGTTTGCATTTGTGTTCCTCACGCGTGCCCCAAAGAATGAGGTGATTTGATAAAATGCTATGCCCAAGATTACCATCCGAGTGCCGGCGGGGAAGTGGTTCATATAGCCTCGGCTATCACTTCCTTATGTCCGGTCGTGATGGTCAAGCGGATTAAGGCGTCCCTGTACATACCAGTTGTGGGAGTATGGGTTCGAGTCACTTCTGGGGTGTGAGTTTTCAGTTGTATATAGTCCTGGGGACCATTCAGGCTTGTTTGCATATATATATATATATATATATATATATATATATATATATATATATATATATATATATATATATATATATATATATAATGTCGTACCTAGTAGCCAGAACGCACTTCTCAGCCTACTATGCAAGGCCCGATTTGCCTAATAAGCCAAGTTTTACTGAATTAATATATTTTCTCTATTTTTTTTCTTATGAAATGATAAAGCTACCAATTTCATTATGTATGAGGTCAATTTTTTTTATTGGAGTTAAAATTAACGTAAATATATGACCGAACCTAACCAACCCTACCTAACCTAACCTATCTTTATAGGTGAGGTTAGGTTAGGTAGCCGAAAAAGTTAGGTTAGGTAGTCGGAAAAACATTAATTCATGAAAACTTGGCTTATTAGGCAAATCGGGCCTTGCATATTAGGCTGAGAAGTGCGTTCTGGCTACTAGGTACGACATATATATATATATATATATATATATATATATATATATATATATATATATATATATATATATATATATATATATATATATATATATATATATATCAATATCTATCAATATCACACACACACATACAGGGGTACCTCGGTTTATGAGTTTAATCCATTCCTGGAGACAGCTCGTAATCCAAAAACTTGTAAACCGAAGCTAATTTCCCCATAAGAAATACTGTAATGGGAAATGAAATAATCCGTTACTGACTACCCAAAAACCTCATTTCCAGCTAAATTTTATACCTAATTCATCTAAATCTACACTACAAAACTATGTTCAAGTTATTACTTACCCTTGAATCTTGAGAGACACTCTCTCACAAAGGGCTTGGAGTTTTCGGTAGTCAGTTCTTCGTTGTGTTCTTCCACCAACTCCTCCACATCAGCACCATCCAATTCCAAGCCCATTTGCCTGCCCAGAGTAACGATTTCCTCAACAATAGACACATCATTTACAGGCTCAAACCCCTCAAAGTCTAGTTCTGTCACACATTCAGGCCATAATTTTCTCCAGCCAGAGATCAGGGTTCTTTGAGTCACGTCTTGCCAGGCTTTGTCAACAAGTTTTAAAGCACTACAATTCTTAAAATGGTCTTTCCAGAACTCTTTGAGGGTGAGTTTTGTGGCTTCAGTCACTTCAAAACATTTCTGGAAAAGTGCCCTTTCATAAAGTTTCTTAAAATTCGCTATGATTTTCTGGTCCATAGGCTGAATTAGAGGAGTGTTAGAAGGAAGGAACTTGACTGAGAAAATTACTGTATCTGTGCAACAATTCATCTTCCAAGCCTGGAGGATGAGCAGGACCATTGTCGAGGAGAAGCCTTGAGTGGCAAATGTTTCTCCTGCAGATATTTTTCTATGGCAGGGCACACCACTTCATTCACCCACTCCGAAAAAAAAATCCTAGTCACCCTCCACATCACACATTTGGTTTTTCTGCACTTTATACTGTTTGAAAACTCTTGGATTTTCAGAATGATACACAAGCAAGGGTTTAATTTTCAAATCGCCACTCACATTTGAACACAGCACAATATCTTTCATAGGCTTGTGTCCGGGCAATGATTTTTCCTCCTTGGTAATGTATGTCCTCTTAGGCAATCTTTTCCAGAACAGTCCTGTTTCATCACAATTAAAAACTTGTTGCGGTAGGTAGAAACTTTCATTTAGGCTACACAGTGAATCAGCTTTAGGCAATCTTACAGATGCACTTCACAATATTAACTGGGATTCTGAATTCAATAATACCCAGGATATAAATACATTAGCTAGCCCTGCCTGATGGGAGCATTTACTATCACCAAATGCCCGTCACC